GCAGACTTTATATTTTTTACTTGTCAGAGGAGCCTCAGGTATAAAAGTCAGGGTGATGACTTCTGCTCCTGCTAATGGGAAACGGCACCAAGGGGACAGCCGCCCCCTCCCCCAGTGATGCTCGAACATTCTGACGACGTCATCACAGGGGGAGGATGCTCTGAGGTTCTGCGGCCCGGGCGTGACGTGGGAGCCTGACTCGTTCCGAGGGTGGCTACGGTGTCAGCTGGGCCCGTCTTCCTCCCGCTTAGCTGATCGCATCCTTGTCATTAAAAGGCCTTTGAAACCGAGTAAAATGTTTCCGAGACGCTAGTGGGACACAGCCCAGCTGTCTGAGGAAGGTATGTTCTGTCTTTTCCCCACAGATGTGACTCTTATCGGGATATAATTTGTTCGTTCAGCCAGCATTCAGTAAGGTCCCCAACAGGCCGGGCGCTGTGCTAGGCATGGGGAGGGGACGAATAGGCCATCTTCCAAGGCCCTAGTCCACTCAGGGAGACCGAGTCATGAACAGACAGTGACAGGACAGTGGAGTCAGGAAGGACAGTCAGGGCAGCCTGTTGGGGTCACTTCATGGGCTGAATTGCGTCCCCTAAAAGGATTTTCAGATCCCAACCCGACACCTGTGAACATGACCTATTTGGGAATAGCCTTTGCAGATGTGGTCCAGCGACAGTGCCGGGTTAGGCTGGGCCTTACATCCAATATCTCGTATCCTTAGAGAAATTTGGGGACCCGGGAAAGACACACCAAGGATGGCCACGTGCAGATGGGTGACAGTTATGCTTCCCTGTCAAGCCAGGAGCACCAGGGTGGCCAGCAGCCGCAGGAAGGGGCCGGGAAGATCTGGGTCCTCAGAGGAGCCCGGCCCGGCCCACACCTTGATTTCAGGTTTCTGGCTCCTGAACTGTGAGAGAATGAACTGCTGTTTTAAGCCACCTTGGTGGTGATATGTGCTCTGGAGCCCCAGGAGGGGAAGACAGGCACCCACAGGTGGGAGGGCGTGTGGGGGGACCACCGAGACGACCTTCTAAGAGGAGGTGATATGGAACCGCATCAGAAGGTAGGGAGTCAGCCCAGTGAGAAAATTGGGAAGGTGGTGCCCAAAGTCAAAGTCACAGGGACGCTGAAGCTGCCCACATTTGGGGTGGACACGGGGCCTTGTTTAGAAGGTGCCTGTTCTGGTCTCGCTGAGCCCCAGGAGCTCCCGCTCCTGCACCCAGATTTTAGGTGTATGTTTCCCAGGCCCCGTTCTGGGGCGGATTGTGTCCCTTTCAATAGGGTTTTCAAAGGAGCGTGCGACCCCCACAAGGTCACAGACTAGCAATGTCAGGGGCTCTGGGGGGAAGCTGGCTGGAGATGTGGCCACCAGCTTGATGGCGACCTTGCTGAGACCAGGCAGTTCAGGGAAGACTAATGTGCCGGCGTGGCTCAGTGGTTGAGCGTCGACCTAGGATCCAGGCGATCGGGGTTCGATTCCCGGTCAGGGCACATGCCCGGGCTGCGGGCTCAATTCCCAGTCGGGGGCGTGCGGGAGGCAGCCGATCCATGACTCTCATCATTGATGTTTCTCTCTCTCCCTCTCCTTTCCTCTCTCTGAAATCAATAAAGGCATATTTAATAAAAATTTTAAAAAGTGCTGGGGTGGAGGGGCCTGGGCCTTCAGCTGGACGTTAGAGGCAAGGGAGAGGGAGGGGTGCGGAGGGGGTCGCCTCGACTTCTGTTGGGGTGATGGGAGGGTGGCAGCCACTCACCTAGATAACTAACACAGGTGGGGTTGGGGGCAGAGGCTCCAGGGAGCTGGCTGTTTCTCTTGGGGAAGAAATGAGTTTCAGGGCCTCGGAAGCAGCCGGCCCTCAGTGCGGGTGTTGGCAGGTGAGGGCTGGCCCTTCCCTGACACTGGTTCATGAAGGGAGCAGGGGCCACGGCGGGTCTGAGATTTGGTCAGAGGGCCCAGAGGGCGAACCGGGGCTCAAGAAGAGAACCCACAAAAGAGAGCAAAACACGGTCGCCAGGAGGGAGGAGCACCGACCCGGAGAAGTCCGCCCTGTTCCGGAGCCCGAGGTGGAGCGATTGTCCGGAGACGCGGGGAAGCTGACAGCCAAATCCCACAGCGTGTGGAATTCCACTTACGTCTGGAAGGCGGTTCTCTCTGAGGGACACTGGCTTCGAGGGGTGTGCTAAAGGGGTGCTGGAATTTCAGGGTAAGGCTTGGCTCCTCCAAGACGGGAGAAGGGGAGCCACTTACAGTCCAGGCAGGGGGGGGTGCCCCTCCTCCGTCCCCGACATGAGCGATACCCACAGGGAGGCAAGTAGCTTATACACCCACCGAAGGCCGCGCATCCGTCATCGGCTTGACTTTGACGGATGGATTCGTGGGGCCGCGCCTGATGTTGCTTGTCTGCGTCCCTGCGGAGACAGCTTAGCGGTGCCGGGCGCCAGCGGGACTTGCGTGAGGCCGTGCCCATAGCCTATGCTCTGCTCAGCGTCTCCTTGCCATTCGCCCCGTCTGCCGGGCTGCTCTGCCCTCCTGCTCTACCTGAGGCCACCCTGCGTGCCGTGTGGATTCCTGCCCAAGCGCCTCTGGGTGGCTCTGGGTGCCAGAGAGGCTGGCTCAGGGCCTCGTGCTATGTTCTGTTAATGTTGCTCGTGATGCTTGTAGCCTCTGGGAAGGTTCTCGAGGGGGTGGAGGGGGGTTCGGAGGAGTGGCTCAGGCCGTGGAGACAGATCATGCTCAATCCTTCCAGTCATCGCAGGAGGGAAACCCTGTTGAGACAGGGTTGGGAACAGACCTACCCCCCAGGGTGCAGAGGACCAGGGCACTGGGCACCCAACCCAACCAGTTCAGGGCCGGCAGTGCCTGGGCGGTTAACCGGGCTGTTGTTAGTGTGTCTAAAATAGAAGAGAGAATGCTGGCGCCTGTAGAGTTGGGAAAGGCCAGGGAATGGTTCCCACCTGGACGCTAGCCCAGGGTGACCCACGTTGAGCTTCTGACCAGAACTATGAGATGATGCATTCGTGGTGTTCAGACCCCAGTGTGAGGTCATTTGTTCCAGCAGTGGCAGGACACTCGGGCAGAGCCCCCACCTGTCCGTCAGGGAGCCTCCCTCCTCCCCGCCAGAGAGGGCGGCCCCTCCAAGCCGCTGACGTCCACTGCGCGTTGCTCCGCTCTGGGCACTGTGCTCAGGGCTAGTTGGGTCACCTAATCTTTTTCAAGAACTCTAGAAGGTAGCACTGTTTTTATCTCCGTTTCACAGCAAGAAACCAAGGGATACTGAGTAACTTGCCCAAAGCCACATGTAGCCAAAGACCCCGAGACTTCGTGGTCTGATTCCAGTGACCACTCATGCCATGGTGACCGTGACCATCGGGGCTTGAGTCGGGGAGGGAGCGGCTGCCTGGTTCCTGCTCATGAACAGTCACAGCCGGTGCCATTTATGAAGCGTTGACCCGCCCACCCCCACCCTGCCCACCTACTTCACATTGTTCACCGATGGCCGGGCTGGGCGGGAGGTGGCGTCCTCGTTCTGTGAATGAAGACCCTCAGTTGAGCGCGGGGCCGAGCGGGGATGCACACCCGGGCCCAGCTGGCCCCGAGGCCCATGCCGACTCCAGAGCCGGGGGAGCTCCGTCTGCATCCGCGTCAGTCGTCCTCATCCATCGATTCTGCACAGAAATCTGAGGTCCTTCAGGTCTCATATCTGTGCTTCACGGACATTCATGTGTGCGCATCACCTTGAATGTCTCTGTCACTCAGTAGCAGGTGTCAGCCGAGGCACAGCCACGTGTCTGGGTGAGAGCTGGGGGGCCCTGGCATCACCCACAGGGGAGACGAGACATCGACAGGCTTTGGACGGGTCAGTGGTGGCCCCTGAATCTCCCCCGAGCCATGTCCTAACCCCTTTGCCAATCGGCCAAACTTGAAAGTACTATAGTGCATTATTTTCCCCGCACAATGCTTTAAATTATATCTTTAAAATACCCTTTTCCCTGGCCGGTGTGGCTCAGTTGGGTGGAGTGTCATCCCCTGCATGGAAGAGTCAAGGGTTCGATTCCTAGGCAGGGCGCACACCAGGTTATGGGTTCAATCCCCCTTGGGGCACTTGTGGGAGGCGACCGATTGACGTTTCTCTCTCACATCGATGTTTTTCTCTCTCTCCCTCACTTCCTTTTTCTCTAGAACTAAAGAATTAAAAACAAAACAAAACAAAGCAAACCCCCCGTTCTGCTGAGTTGATAAAGCTGGGTTAGAGGCCGCCTCCTTAGACCCCTTCTTTCCCATCACCAGCACCCACAGAGGGGGAGCCGCTCCTTGTAGGATTTTGAAAAATCATTTCCCCCAGAGCATCTGCATTGCGGAGGCAAATCTGTTAAGTCTGGGCCACGCAGACTCCTGTCTGTATTCCACCTCCCGTGTTGGATTTATACCCCTGCGGTGCCAGCCGGACAGCAGGCGGAGGTCACGACACCCGCAGGCTGCACTGAAGAGCACGGTTTCCTTCTACCCGGGGCTCGGTGGGGCGCGAGGGGCAGGTGTGCGGATGGATGGGGTCCCGAGAGGGTTCTTGAGACGTGCCTGTTGCTATGGAACCGCTGACGGTGGAGCAGGCCTCGAACCCAGGCCCTCGGACCTGGTCCTGGAGCGGTGCTGGGCTCGCCCTGTGGCAGGCGTCACGCGGCGGGCTGTGCGCAGCGCTGCATTGTCTTCACAGTATCAGAGCCACCCTCAGGTGTCCCCAGGCGGTTTCCGTATCTGTGTCTGCGTTTCCGTTGCTCCTTCGAGGACGGTGGGTTGGGAGCCGGGGCGACAGCTGGTCTAGCGTTTCAGTCTCTCCCCTCGAGGGGCTGGGGAACCCACGGTGCGATTCTCTCCTCTCCGGGGGTAAACTCAGGCCGCGGGGGAGTGTGAGAAGGCTGAGCCCGTTCAATTCTTACGAAGCCTCGGGACACACGCGCCTGTGCAGACGGAGGGAACGTGTAGCCTCATTCCCTGAGCAGCGATGGACTCGGGCCTGGGGGAGGCGGGCGGGAGGAGTGGGGGGACACAGAAGGTTTTCCCCGCGGGCGGTGACGTTGACCCGCACTGGAAAGCGGAGCTCTCCCGTTTACCTTCTCATATACTGAAAAGTCGCAGCGTCATCTCCTTCTGCCTAGGACTACGTGACAACCGGTACAGTACAAACGGTCAAATTGGCCTTAAAAGTCTCCAGTCCGGTGTTACAGAGAAGACCTCTGCCTCCGCCGAGGTCACATATGTTTCTAGCTTCTAGACTAGTCAGCAAAACGCACGACTATGCAACGCACTCGCCGGCCTCCGGCGACGGGTCCGGGTGTTAGTTTGCTCAGGCAGACGCTGAACTGACGCAGCAGGAGGCCTCGCCCGGCGACTGAGGCCCGTCGCGTCCCGCGCGCAGTGTTTGTCTAACGCTCCTTTCCTAGTCTTCGCGGAGGGTCTGCGAACTTGCCCGAGGGAGGGGACAGAGACTGCATCTCGGTTTTACACCAAAGCCAGGGCTGGGGACGGGCAGGATGCCATGGAGCATGTCGGAGGTGGGGGGTAATTTGAAATCACGCAGCTGGTCCAGGTTGTTAGAACTGCAGAAAGTGTCAGTGGCCTCAAATTGGGAAGAAAAGAAAAGGTCAGGTTTGTACGATGAAACGTTTCTGAGTCTGGAGAACAGAGAACTCTGGGCACAGTGGTGAATGGTGCCCGTGGCTCCCACGCCAGGCTCTGTCTGACTGGCTCATGTCATCCTTCCCACAGCCCTGGGGGGAGGGAGGGATGGTCTTTGTGCCCATTTTGCAGATGAGAAAATTAAAGCTCAGGCACCTTCAGGAACCGACTTGCCTCAAGTCTCGCAGCTCGTAAGCCGGCTGGCTCTGGAGCTCCTGTCCCTGCCTCGCTCTGAAGGGCTGGCGTAGGGGAGGCTCGTATTGGTTAAGGGAATTTTTAAAATGGACTTTCCTGCCTGGAGGAGGTGTCGGAGACGGCACAGTTTACAAGGCACCTGTCGTCTTTCACAGGTGGGCATTCTGCAGCCAACTCTCGTCATTTTGAGCGAGGGTGGAATTAGGCAAATCACGCTCTCTAACAGATTAGAGTAGCAAGGGTATCCGTAAAACATGATTTTCCTCCCAAAATGCTTGTCTGAGGTTTTATCCTTTGACTTAGCTCTGTGTCTAGTAAAACCCGACATTTCC